AATGTGCGTAGCTGTCATCGTCCCTCCCGTAGGACTAGCATACTAGAACAGCAACCGCCGCTGATGAAGAATAAGAAGGATCCAACTTGAAAACACACAAACGTAGATGAACTATGGCCAGGTTCGAGCAAATCCATCAAAGACAAATTCGCTGGAGGGGCTAGGCGTGAAGAACCTTATTTCGTCGCCGTCTTGTCTTCCTGAACAGGACACAAACCTAACAAACTCGAAGAAACATCTGAAAACGAAGCCCTTCCATCGGCAAAGGCTGAGATCCATCGCGCCCCCATGGCCCTAAGGCCACCGGAGACGAGGGGACCGGCGGCGGCGGCGGGAGGCAGAGGAGCCTTTTCTTTTTGGAGAAAGATAATATTATTGATGGATTTGGAAACAGTATTTGCTTAATTGAAATCCAAAAGTGTCTCGTTTCATTTGCTCAATGTAAGTAAAAAGGCAACTTGGCAAATTTTCTCAAAAAGTATAGCGTAGCTGAGATGCCAAATATCGACATCATTCGTTTCAAAAAGAAAAAAATATCGACTTCATTCCTGAAAAACTGCATACAGAGTGTTCACTCTCTAGTCTTTGTTTTCTCCCCACAAGTCTAAGTCTTGCACACACCACAGAAATTCGAAATATGGAATTGTAGACGAATCTTTACATCTTTTCTTGCATAATACTCCCTCCGTCTTAAAATTCTTGTCTTAGGTTTATCTAAATATGAATGTACCAAGTCACGTTTTAGTATTAGATACATCCATATCTAGATAAATTTAAGACAAGAATTTTGGGACGGAGAAAGTATTGTTTCGGCAGTAGTAACTTTTACTTGCAGCAGGATGTGAACTAAAAGAATACGTGCAATTTCAGTACAGGAAGCGGAGCGATCTACAGTGTAAGAAACATGAACTTTTAAGAGCAACTCTAGCAGAGCCGTCATATTCATAATCTATCAAAAATAATAAAGGTAAACACAAAGTCGTCATATCTCAGCTTCCAATCTTTTTCCCTTATTTCGTCCTTCAACGTCACACTTGTAGGGGCAACATTTCATTCAAAGCAACCATGTACATATTCTTAAAAAAATGCAGAAACAAATGAAGCATCATGCACACATTCAACCTACATGTACAAATGACATGTCGCCGGCTCGCATGCGTGCACGTCCACTCCTCTTGTGTATTGGTCGCCGTCCTAAAATGCACGAGCTCTGCTTGCGTTATCTCCGAAAATGATCTTGATTTTGCAGCCATGGTATTTGGATCAAACATCATCGACCAGTTCTCCTCAACCACCTTCTCTTGCATCAACCAATTATCCTTAAGCTGAAGCATACACACCTCAATCTCTTCCTTGTGCTTCTTTTACTTTCGTGCCTAACCTTCCACCTCGCCTTCTTCTCTTCTAACCTCCTCACCTCCATCTCCAACTTTTCTTATTTCCTCTCACCCTGTCAATTCATTCCTTGACTTGATCCACTCATTGACCTTGACTTCCATAGCCTCCACCTCTCTTGTCTCTTGACTAGGGGTGGGCATAAAAACCGATGAACCAAACACCGAACCGAAGCCGAAACCAAAAAAACCGAATTTTCGGTTTTTGTCATTGGCACACATAATTTCGGTTTTACCTTCAATAAGCGAACTAAGTTCGGTTAGTTCGGTTTTTAATTCAGTTAGCCGAAATGCTACCGAACTATACAGTACACGCAGACTGGACTGGAGTACTGGACGATTTGTCGTCTCCCATTTTCCTGTTCACAGCAGCCCACGCCTCGCAAGCCACTTCACGGGGGCTGGGTGTTGCTATTGGACCTCACGTGGAGCCAAGCAGCCCACTAGACTCTGTGCAAGTAGCCCACTAGCTGTGTACATTATGTGGACCTACCATCTGCCTTGCCTCGATAGAAAAATGGCCTGGTAGTCCGCATGCGAGTGCAGCCGAGTAGGACATTCGCTTAGTCCCACCTCGCTGGCTGACGAGATGAGGCAAGGATTTTATGCTATATAAGAGGGTCACGTTGTTCCATTCCTAGCACAATAGCTAGCAGCACGGTACGTACGGTACAAACCGAAAACCGTACCGAACTATCGGTTAACAGAATTTTCGGTTAGCAATTTTGAGCTCTAATTTTTGGTTAGTAATTTTGTTAACCGAATTTAACAAAAAACCGAATGGTAGAAACCGAATTTTTGGTTTATACCGAATACCCAGGCCTACTCTTGACCACCTCCTTCGATTTCTTCCGCCTGGCAGCCCCATGCTACACGCCAAAGTGGTATTTCTAGGCCTCCTTCATCCCTACCATCTTCCCGCCATCATCCAATTTTGGAGAGGAAGAGATCGATGACCTCAATTTTCTGGAGGAGCCTCCTCATTACTCATTTTCTACTTCTCATTATCATCCAATTCTTTCCAACAATGTTGGGGCCAAATGCTTTTGACCTTTGTCTTGGGCATTTGCTTGTACCTTTCTGTTATCCCATCATAACTCACAAATGGACAATGATGTAATGCTGAAAGTTATATGCAAAGAGGATGTTGAGAAATACGACAAGAGTGTTCACATATCCACCAATGGTGACACCACTAGGAGGCAAGTTTCTCACTTGCTCCACAACCTGCCCGGTGGTTGCACATCTCTTGAATTGTACCCCATCCGTTTGTGAGAGATTTGAGCGTACGGTTGGATCTATGCCTAATGTGTTGACAAAACTTTTCTTGGTGCGCTTTCAATACTTTGATTGGTTCGATCTTTCCTAGTGACCGTGTCAAGAGTGATATCTTGTCATTGCCATCACCAAAGCAATGTTCTCTTCATTGTAGTTCGCAAACCGAAGTGCTTTCTTCCTTGAAGCGAGGGTGGCATGGAACGTGGGTGACATGGAATTGATCCAATTTCATTTCTTTCCTCGCCTAATCCAATTCCTAAAAGTGCAATACAGATGTGTCATCGGGAGACAAGTCTCGGCTATCGAAATCATTGGTCTCAGTGAATCACCCGTCGTACCTGTCGAGAAAAGATACATTATTAACCACTAAACCTCCCAAGTGCATAAAAGCATTGTAAAATTCCAATCATTGTTCCACTATCACATTGCATTGAAGTGAACAAACTGAAAGATAAGGGACGATTCTTTTTACCAACTCGGCAAATCATCAAATGCTTTTGCGTTCGTAGGTCTAGGATCTATAAAGTATGTCTAGAGGTGGTGGGTGAATAAACTACTGAGCCAAAAGATGAACTCTTCTCCCAAATTTAAGTTTCCATGGCAATTTTATGCTTTTCCAGTAATCGATCAAGCACCCTACACATGCCAGTCTACAAGACTATATGCAGTGGAAAATAAAGACATGCAAGTGTAAGTAACAAAGTAGGGTTCAAGATATGCAAACACGGGTTAACTAGGGGAAGATTTTTTCCTATGGTTCAGATAGTTGGTGTTATCTTACATTCAGATTGATGGAGGCTTTGATCCATAGAGGATCTAAGATCACAAGGATCCCGGTTGCGAGATCCCGCTAAGGGATGGTCCACGAAAGACACACACCCACGAAGGATGCACAAAGAAACAACCAACCTATGCCACCATGGCGTACGCCCACAAAGACTACCCTCACTGACGGTAGATCTTCACAAAGTGGGCAATCTCGAGCCCTTGGTTTCTCACAAGCTTCAAAAATTCCAAGCACCTAGCCGATCTAGGAGACACATAAACCCTTCAAAAGTAATAAGATTGAGGCTACTTGGGGATGAATGCCTTGCTCTTGTGCTTCAAAAGATGATATCCTCAACACTCAACTCTATCAACATTTGGCTTTTTGGATTGGAGAATAGGAGTGGAAAGCAAGAGGGTATTAGATCTCAAAGGATTGACTTGGATTGTTGTGTAGGAACTCTTTGAAATCGGCACGAGGAGTTCTCTCTCAGGACATATGATGGGAGTGGGGTTTACTTTGAGTGAACATGTGGGATGGGTGAGGGTATAAATAGACTGGATAAAAAAATCTGACAACAACTACACACTTTTTGACACAGCTCGGAGGCTTCGACCTATACAAAAGGTAAAGGCGGCAGCTTTCAGAGGTAAAGGCGGCAGCTTTCAAACTTCTTGGACGGTTCGACCAGAAGCCATTCAGAGGTTCTGAGGTGAACACCGCAAAAGTGGCACACTCTCTCTTACTGCACTGAAAATTAGGAGCGAAGGGGTTCAAAATTTTTGAGGGAAGAACAAAAGGTTTGCTTGGCAATTTCAAATGGAAGTCTTGGGCCCGGATGGCTAGGATTTGCAACGGCTATACTTGGTGAATTTCTAGGCGGTTCCAACTGGAAGAGCTCAACAGCTCCGAACCATGGAAGTTGGATAAATAGTGGAGGAATTGTGCATGCTTTTGAGGACCTTGGAGTTTGATCTTTAAGCAAGCAGATGGAGAAAGAATCTCATCACAACATTCTCATCCCCTTTTGATAGTACCAGCAATACCTATGGACTCAATGTGATCTTGGATCAATAAAACAAAAATGGATGATCGTTATCCTAGTAAAGACATAATCAATCCAATGAAATCAATGCTATTTTAATAGAGAAAGTTTTACCAAGAAGCAAGACAGACGCATCGTAGATACAATTCTCACGCTGCACTTGAACTTCAAAACCACATCATGGTCACAACTATAATACTCCCTCCAATCCACCACACGTTCACAACTATAATACTCCCTCCTATCCAAAATAAGTGTCGTGAAGTACCACATATGCATAATGTTCCCACCATCGAGGGACTCTTATTAGGTTCAGTGGATAGAGCAGGTTCAGCAACAAAGTTTCACCTTGGCATGATCAGCGAGAAGGTCAACATCACACATCATCATTATTTCCAGGGTAAACACTGAATAATCCGAAAACACATTGTTTTCACAATTAACATATGCGATAGGTACAGTTGTCGCATTTGAGAAGATACGTCAAATCCAGCAAGATTTTTTGAGCCGAGCTTCTTCAATCAGTGTGAATTCCACCCATGAAGGTCCTTGGGTCAGGGCAGGTACCACTGAACTGAGCCTGCGAAAAATCAAACCCTGGATTCTGCATACACATAACATAGATATGAAGGGCAACGTTAATGCACATGCCATAGGTAACTCAAAACACACACAACATCCATTCACAAATGTAAGTTGGTCTTTTCCTATTCAGTTTCCCATGCAAGACTTTGACTGAATTTCTATTGTACTCCCTCCGTTCCTAAAATAAGTCTATGTAGAGATTCCACTATGGACCACATACGAATGTATATAGATGTATTTTACAGTGTAGATTCACTCATTTTGCTCCGTATCTAGTCCATAGTGAAATCTCTACAAAGACTTATATTTAGGAACGGAGGGAGTAGTATCCTGGTCGAAATGATAATAATAATACAGATTACAGAAGTATTTTTGCAAGGTAATCTGGCACTACTTATGGAGTAAATATATATACTTCTAAACTGTTAATGGACAAAGTTGCAAAAGACTTATAGCACTGACCCAATGGCCAGTTATATTTAATGATGGATAAAGCACCGGTATAAAGCTACGCCAGCATGTCATATGGTTGTTAACCAAGTATATTTTCTTTAGAATAGTACTGGCTCATAAAACTCCAGTTTGCAAAAAGAATCCTGCATGAGTGTTAGTAGTTTCAACTAGCAGCTGCACTTTCTTAAAACAAGGCAATAACTTTTTCAGTAACTCTTATGTTTTTCTCATCATGACAAGTGGGCAATAAATCATAGGTGTTTGGTTTCTAAAATGTTTGGCAAAATGGCTGATACTACCATGTGCAAGGCCAATGTATAGTGTGAGGTTGCCTATTTGCAATATAACACAAACACATGGATGCATGATAAGCAAGATCACTATTAGATAACCACCAATAGTTTCCCATACAAACAAGGCCTGTAATCCTATAGCCGGCTCATTTGGATAATTTCCAAACCCTACAATTGCTATATTTGCCAGGAAGGATCGGAGAACCAATGTTCAGTGTACACAGCAGAGCAAGACCAAAATCAGAGTTCTTTCGACCATTTCTGTAATCTGACTTGAGACATTAGTGCATTGCAGTACCAATCCAATTGACATCAGGCTCTGCTTCATATCACATATTATCGGTAAGGCAATAAGCATGTGCGCAAAATTGAGAAAATAACTATTTAGACATACAGGGATCCACGAGTGAGGCGGAACTGACTACACAGAAAAAGGAATGCACAGTAAACAGAAGGGAAACTATGTCTGCACAGTAAATTGATTATACCTCTTCTTGAAACCTTTGCAGCATAAGCCGTTTCTGTTCCTGGTCTGCAGCATATGGATCTAAGCTACCTTGGCCTTTTATTGGAGATGCCCATGCTTTCCCCTTTTCCCTTTTTTGCAGAGTGATATGCAATTCACCGTCCTCTGCATTGTAATCACAATGATCCATATTAAAAATATAGATCAGCAGAAGGCGCTAATGACGTAATGGTTGATATAGATGTCTCCCTAATGCTTGATAAACCTCATACCGGTGACTTCTCACCCATGGCAGCATACCCATATGCAAACTAGCCCACAAAATAATGGCACTCCACAAAATTACTGCAGCATATGGTGCACTGAATAAATTTAGTGTGTTTTTCCTTTTCCTACATTGATATTTTGTAAATGGACCAGAGAAAAAGGTTTTATGCCCTTAAATAATTCACTGCAGAGTGAAGAAGAGCTAAATCTAGTAAAAACTCGTAGATGAGTTCTGCACTAAATGTGCCATTGCAGACTGCACTGGATGAGCTGATTGCGCTTTCTAGTTCTGCACTAACCCAAACAGATACCTAAAATCCGCCAAAACTCTGTAGCTGGGAGACCAATAATTCCAGGTGGGAGAGAAATGAGCCATACCTATCGTCCAGAAAGACGAATCGGTCTTCACGGGGTGCATAAGGTCATGCTGCAAAACAATCCACATATCAAATTTAAAGATACAAACACAAATCAAGAAAGAGCTCAATATTTAGCACGAGCTCGAGTGGAATCGAATTGGAAGAGAGAGAGAGAGAGAGAGGGAGAGAGAGTAAATCACGGACGTTGAGGTAGGGCGGGTGGCCGCGAATGCCGACCTCAACGTGGCCGGCCTGGATCACACACTGAATCAGCTTGGTGGGCACGTTCTTGGGGAGCTCGATGTACATGTTCACCTCCTCCAGCGACTGGTCCCATTCGAAAACCTTCTGCCCTGCGCCCCCACGCAATCCATTGGGGGAGAGGAGGGGAGAAACCATAGGTGAGGGCAGGCTCTGGAACGCTCTAGAAGAAAGTGGAGCGTTAGACCGGGGAGGCTTACCATTGTGGACGAAGGCATGGCGCTTCTCGGGTGCCAGCCTCTCCGCCATGGCCACGGGATTCGGCGCTCGCGACGCTTCTAGAGGCTTCTGGATCGGCTGAGGAACGCGATGGTTGAGGGAGATGGAGAAGAAGAGACGCCGCAGAACGCCACTCCCGCGATGTCAACGACTAAGGAGGGCGGCGACAAGTAGGGTTTGGTGGTGTCGTCGATATACGTGCAGGGCTGGAGGCGGACCAACCAAGCAAAGGGGATTTGTGGAGGAGGTCGAGGGGAGCACGTAGATGTCGCCGGAGGTGGCAGGGGCCGCCGGAGCCCGCAGAATCTGCTGCGTAGGTGGTCTGCTTCGGCCAAACAGCGGGTTGTTTCGATTGGGGAAGATGGTCTGCTTCGGCCAAACAGCGGCCAAACAGCTGCGTCCCCCTGTTTCCTCAGGCAACCGGATCACCGAATGCACGTTCTCAAAAAAAAATAAAAAAATCACCGAATGGTCACCGCAACACTTCAATTAAACAGCTATAATGTCTGTTACTTCTTTCGTCCGAAAATACTTATCATTAAAATGGATAAAAAAAGATGTATTTAAAACTAAAATACATGTAGATATATTTTTATTTATTTATTTTGATGACAAATATTTTTGGACGAAGGGAGTACAAACAAGAGCATATCCACACCCCGTCCTCGCGTCAACAAGCCCCCCAACGCCATTTTTTATTGTTGGCGCGAAAAAAATGGCCCAGTCGTGTCCTTAAAAGCCAATTTTTCGCCGGCTAGGCCCGATTTTGACGTCGGCGGACCTAGACCGAACCCGACGCGCTGGGGGACGCCCGGGGCGTCGGAAGGAAACTTTTTTGGCGCGAAAGCTTGGTGGACCCGTCCAGTCAGCGATTAGGTGCGTTCATCGTCCTCATCGCCTCGTTTTTCCTCGGGGAATCAACGAGAAGGCTGCTGTCGGTCAGCCTTCCATTGATTCCTCACGAGCGGCGCAGTGAAAGCGCGCTGACGCGCCTCCCGCCCCTCCCGTCACGCGTACACATGGCTGCTGCCCGTTCGCCACCCATCCGCGACTATAAAAGCCGTCCCACACTCGTCAGTGGCCGCACAGTTCCTCGCCACATCACCTCTCCCCCTCTCACCGACGACGCCCCTCTCCCCTCTCTCCTCGTCTCAAAACCATGGTCGAGCGCTACCCCGGCGACGGAGCGGCGTCCAACGGCTTCGGCCGTCGCCACCTGCATGAGGACGAAGCCCGCCTCCTCTACGAGGCGGACTACCCAGCGCCGCCGAACATGTGGGTGCCTGGCTCTTGAAGCTCGGCGCCGGCGGTGTCCCGATGCCACCGGCGCCCATCGGTGCTGATCGACGCGCCGAGATCACGCGCGACCGCAGCTAAGGTACGTCCCCGACAGCCACACGCTATGGACGGCGTATGTCGGCCGCCGCAACGAAGAACAGCTCGCCTCCACGAACAGTGTCGAGCCTCGTGGCCGCCTCAACTCCGAGGGACGGTGCCAATGGTGGGGCGTCCCCGGCCGCATGCTCGAAGCCGTCCTCGAGCACATCGAGGGCGGTGCTACTTCTTGAGCTTGCGTTGTTTTTTCCCTTGAAGGGGAAAGGGTAATGCAACAAAGTAGAGATAAGTATTTTCCTCAGTTTGAGAACCAAGGTATCCATCCAGAACGCACAAATCACCTAATACCTGCACAAACAATCAAACAACTTGCACCCAACGCGATAAAGGGGTTGTCAATCCCTTCACGATTACTTGCAAAACTGAGATCTGATAGAGATAGATGAACGGTATTTTTTTTGTATTTTTGGTTTATAGACCGGAAAGTAAAGATTGCACAAATAGTACATCGGAAACTAGTACGATGGAAAATAGAAACTTATTGTTGGGGATCGTTACAGAAATTAAAATTTTTCTACGCATCACCAAGATCAATCTATAGAGTAACTAGCAACGAGAGGGGAGTGCATCTTCATACCCTTGAAGATCGCGAGTCAGAAGCGTTGCAAGAACGCGGTTGGAGGAGTCGTACACGTAGCGATTCAGATCGCGGCCGAATCCGATCTGAGCACCGAACAATGGTGCCTCCGTGTTCAACACACGTGCAGCTCGGTGACATCTCCCGCGCCTTGATCCAGCAAGGAGGAGGGAGAGGTTGAGGAAGAAGGCTCCAACACCAGCACGATGGCGTGGTGGTGTTGGAGTGGCAGTTCTCCGGTAGGGCTTCGCCAAGCTCACGCAGAGGAGGAGAGGTGTTGGGGAGGGGAGGGGCTGCGCCTTGGATGTGGTGCTGCAGCCCTCCCTTCGCCCCTCTATTTATAGGGAGAAGGGGGAAGGGGGCCGGCCCCTCTAGATGAGATCTAGAGGGGGCGGCGGCCAAGGGGGAGGGGGCTTGCCCCCCAAGCAAGGGGGGCGCCCCCCTTTAGGATTCCCCCCAAACCCTAGGCGCATGGGCCCTAGGGGGATGGCGCCCAGCCCACTAGGGGCCGGTTCCCTTCCACCTACAGGCCATAAGGCCCTCCGGGGCAGGTGGACCCTCCCGGTGGACCCCCGGAACCCCTCCGGTGGTCCCAGTACAATACCGGTATACCTTCGAATATTTTCGGTGACCGTATGATGACTTCCCATATATAAATCTTCACCCCGGACTATTCCGGAACTCCTCGTGATGTCCGGGATCTCATCCGGGACTCCGAACAACATTCGGTAATCACATACAAATCTTCCTAATAACCCTAGCGTCATCGAACCTTAAGTGTGTAGACCCTACGGGCTTGGGAACCATGCAGACATGACCGAGATAACTCTCCGACCAATAACCAATAGCGGGATCTGGATACCCATGTTGGTTCCCACATGTTCCATGATGATCTCATCGGATGAACCACGATGTCGAGGATTCAAGCAATCCCGTATACAATTCCCTTTATCAATCGGTACGTTACTTACCCGAGATTCGATCGTCGGTATCCCAATACCTCGTTCAATCTCGTTACCGGCAAGTCACTTTACTCGTTGCGTAACACATCATCCCGTGACCAACCCTTAGTCACATTGAGCTCATTACGATGATGTCTTACAGAGTGGGCCGAGAGATACCTCTCCGTCATATGGAGTGACAAATCCCAGTCTCGATTCGTGCCAACCCAACAGACACTTTCAGAGATACCCGTAGTGCACCTTTATAGTCACCCAGTTACGTTGTGACGTTTGGCACACCCAAAGTATTCCTACAGTATCCGGGAGTTGCACAATCTCATGGTCTAAGGAAAAGATACTTGACATTAGAAAAGCTTTAGCAGACGAACTACACGATCTTGCGCTATGCTTAGGATTGGGTCTTGTCCATCACATCATTCTCCTAATGATGTGATCCCGTTATCAATGACATCCAATGTCCATGGTCAGGAAACTATAACCATCTATTGATCAACGAGCTAGTCAACTAGAGGCTCACTAGGGACATGTTGTGGTCTACGTATTCACACATGTATTACGATTTCTGGATAACACAATTATAGCATGAACAATAGACAATTATCATGAACAAGGAAATATAATAATAACCATTTTATTATTGCCTCTAGGGAATATTTCCAACAGTCTCCCACTTGCACTAGAGTCAATAATCTAGTTACATTGTGATGAATCGAACACCCATAGAGTTCTGGTGTTGATCATGTTTTGCTCGAGGAAGAGGTTTAGTCAACGGATCTGCGACATTCAGGTCTGTATGCACTTTACAAATATCTATGTCTCCATTTTGAACATTTTCACGAATGGAGTTGAAGTGACGCTTGATATGCCTGGTCTTCCTGTGAAACCTGGGCTCCTTGGCAAGGGCAATAGCTCTAGTGTTGTCACAGAAGAGTGTCATCGGGCCCGACGCATTGGGAATAACTCCTAGGTCGGTAATGAACTCCTTCATCCAGACTGCTTCTTGTGCTGCCTCCGAGGCTGCCATGTACTCTGCTTCACATGTAGATCCCGCCACGATGCTTTGCTTGCAACTACACCAGCTGACTGCCCCACCATTCAAAATATACACGTATCCGGTTTATGACTTAGAGTCATCCAGATCTGTGTCGAAGCTAGCATCGACGTAACCCTTTACGACGAGCTCTTCGTCACCTCCATAAACGAGAAACATATCCTTAGTCCTTTTCAGGTACTTCAGGATATTCTTGACCGATGTCTAGTGTTCCATGCCGGGATTACTTTGGTACCTTCCTACCAAACTCACGGCAAGGTTTACATCAGGTCTGGTACACAACATGGCATACATAATAGACCCTATGGCCGAGGCATAGGGGACAACACTCATCTTTTCTCTATCTTCTGCCGTGGTCGGGCATTGAGCCGTGCTCAATCTCATACCTTGCAATACAGGCAAGAACCCCTTCTTGGACTGATCCATATTGAACTTCTTCAATATCTTGTCAAGGTACGTACTTTGTGAAAGACCAATGAGGCGTCTCGATCTATCTCTATAGATCTTGATGCCTAATATATATGCAGCTTCTCCAAGGTCCTTCATTGAAAAACACTTGTTCAAGTAGGCCTTTATGCTTTCCAAGAATTCTATACCATTTCCCATCAATAGTATGTCATCCACATATAATATGAGAAATGCTACAGAGCTCCCACTCACTTTCTTGTAAACACAGGCTTCTCCATAAGTCTGCATAAACCCAAACGCTTTGATCATCTCATCAAATCGAATGTTCCAACTCCGAGAGGCTTGCACCAGCCCATAGATTGAGCGTTGGAGCTTGCACACCTTGTCAGCATTCTTAGGATCGACAAAACCTTCCGGCTGCATCATATACAATTCTTCCTTAAGGAAACCATTAAGGAATGTTGTTTTGATGTCCATTTGCCATATCTCATAATCATAGAATGCGGCAATTGCTAACATGATTCAGACGGACTTCAGCTTCGCTACGGGTGAGAAAGTCTCATCGTAGTCAACCCCTTGAACTTGTCAATAACCCTCAGCGACAAGCCGAGCCTTATAGATGGTCACATTACCATCC